AGCTTCTTAAAAAGGGCACATTCTATGACCTCTGGAGAGCTGTAACATTCATCAAGCCTGTCCCAAGCCCTTTTGAGAGCAGCTTCTGGTTTGTCTATGTGGACTGCCCTCAAACGCCAAATGTTCAGAGGACTCCTTGCCAAGCCATTTTAACAGCAAGTCCAGTTTTTCGCTACCAGTAAGATCCAAGTCTCTTATCGTGTTGAGGAAAGACGACCTCCATGCTCTGTAAGTTTCCGGGCAGTCATCATCAGTCATCATGCGAGAACTGGTACTGGCCGTGTGGTGAAGCACAGGCATCAACGACGACATACGGGTTGCCTACTTCCTTGAAGGCACTCTTAGAGGAAGCAAAGTGGGATTCTTTGTTTGTTGTTTGTGCGGCAAGTTATAGAATGACTCTGACTGTTGGCTAAAATGAGTGGTCTGGTCCCTGATGTAATCGCTCACACGTTGATGTGTGGCTTTTACTATTGCTGGGTGGCTTTTCCTGCTCATCACCCTCATATTCTGCAGCTGACTCCAACACCTCTGCCTGGGCGATAGCAGCTGCAGCCTCCTTTTCAAAGTGCAGGGTTTACCAGATTAGCTTCTAGTCTTGCTTTGTCAACTTTCATGGCAATCTCCCTCTCCGCAAAAGTAACCCGTGCTCGCGCAGCCTCTGACCTTGCTCTTGCTTGTGCTCCTGCAGCACCAACAGATGATCTAGAACAGTGATTCTCAGGACCCGTTTTTAATGGGTCGCGGGTCTTTTATTTTCGTATTCATTTTATTCTAATCCATGAAGATCTGAAGCTCTGTTAACCTTGATTACTGCTCTCCCAACTCACTGAAAGTGCTTCGGGGACTTTCTCTCTGCTGTTTTTGCTCTCTTCTCTCCGAGCTGGATGTAAAGAAAAAAGGTTTTATTTAAATTGGAAACATGAGTTGGTAGTTCGAGTTCAGAACAAGTACTCCTGTCGTGACGCCACAGAACTGCCACTTTTGCCATTGATGTGCCAGAGTGGCCACTGATGTGCCACTGTGGCCACTGAATTACCAGAGTGGCCACTGAGTTTCCAAAGCCCCCCCGACCGAGACCCCCGACCCAAACCCCCCCGTGGAACACCCCCGCCTGCGCCTCCCCAACCCCCCCCAGCGGAATACGTCGGACTTGAGATAGAGGTGGGGAATATGTATTGTATAAAATAAAATAAATACAAAAAACATGAAATAAAATAAAAAGAACTACAAAAATCATCTTTACGGCAGCTAACCTGTCGCACAAACAACGGCCGTTTCCCGGAAAGCCTGGCTCCGCCGTTGCGACGCCCGCCCCTTACTTGCCGCGAGTTGTGCCACTGAGTGCCACTGCGTGCCAGTGTCACAAGGAGGATCTCGCTGTCTCTCCTCGGTTGTGCGAACTGGGGTGACGAAGAAAGTGCTTTTATTGCACTATTTGGAGGTGTATGCAGGAAGTCTTATTGTGAAAGGACGGAATTGGGTTCCTGGATATGTTGATAGCATTTTTGGTCATTTTGGCGACCTATTAATATTGTCAGTCAGATTTATTTATAAATTAAATATATATGTGAATTTTTTGGTTTGCATTTGCAATTATTGAGACTGATCGGACTCGACAATAGTAAAAATGCAATGCAAGTGTTTCACTCAGCACACTGTAGTCTCATGGTGTAAACTAGTTGCAACGATAAGGTCGTACTAATCCTGTTTATGTGGCCCACCTCGGATTTGGGAGCGGTTTTCTCATCGTGTATGTCATCATGAAGGAAATGATATCAGCGTGACGACAGGTTTACAGAGAATGGTCCCAACAAGAGAAAACACCCAGCGATTGGGAGTTGTGTAAGCGAAAGTGCCTTGTTGAGTCAGAGGAGAATGGACAGACTGGTTCAAGATGACGGCAACAGGAACTCAAATAAGCACTCGTTACAACCGAGGAATGAAGAATAGCCTCTCTGAACGCACAACACGTGGAACCTTGATGAAGACGGGCAACAGCAGCAGGAGACCACAGCGGGGGCCACTCCTGTCAGCTGAGACCAGGAGACTATTCACACAGTATCACCACAATGGACAACAGAAGATTGGAAAAACGTTGCCTGGTCTGATGGGTCTTGATTTCAGCTGCAACATTCAGATGGTCGAGTCAGAACTTAAACAACATGACAGCATGGATCCATCCTGCCTTGTGTCATCGGTTCAGGCTGCTGGTGTGAAGGCGTGGGGGATATTTGCTTGGTACACTTTGCGCCTGCAGCAGAACAATAGAACGGAGATGGATTAAGGTGAAATGCCTCTTTAGCACAGATCTCTGAGAGACGCTTTTGTCAAAGTCGTCATCATATCTTGTCACGCCGCAAATATCAGATATACTCCAAACCCCAAGAGGGCAGTTCACGCCTCCAAACAGACCAAGCACAGGGTGTGGATGAAGAGGTGCCAGTTTGCCTCCTGGGTGCTGCCGAGGTGCCCTCAAGCAAGTCATTAGACCCTAACTGCTCCCTGGGCGCTGTCTAGTAGATATCTAGTTCATAGAAAAACTAAGGCGGGTTAAATACAAAAATTCCACTGTGACAATAGAAGGTGATTCACATCTACAAAGACAGCAGAACTACACTGAAAAAATGCTGTGTTGAATTAACTTAAATGAACGAAATAAATGTATCTAAATCCAGACATATTTTTAAAGTAAATTGTACTGTTAATTGTATTGTAGTTAATTGTAACTCTCATTCATTACCTTAACAGCTGGGCATTGTGTGTCTTTGGCATTGCGTTTATTGGAGGCTGTTTTAGCCACAGATGATTGTACAGAAGGTGGCTTCTGCTGTGGTCCAGTTTAGAGAGGACTGAAGAGGGAGAACACTTCACACAAGATCTATCGTTGGTTCTGGTCTATTTGTGGTATTTGTTCACAGCAAGAAATGAGTTGAGTTATGACATCATGTTTTATCCAACTCAGAGAAAATCCCAAAATCGCCTGTCAGTGGAAGGAAACCTTGTGTGACATTTAGCTCACAGTGAAAGTTTAGTTTACTGTTAGCGTTAACAAAGTAGTAGTATTACAGAGGACAGTTCAAATGCATCAATTGCATATGTCAGAATATCGGTACTAAGGACTGGTACTCCTTTGAATTTAATGGCACTTATGAGGACATAAATGCTGTTTTTCCCAAATGTTGGTTGCTGCCGCTGATCTTTACACTGATACGAAGCGTCAACTTCCAGATCCGACGCTCCTGTCCACTCTCTGTCCTCAACGACCTCAATGCAGCACCGGGTAGGTTCATCTTCCTTTCTCCCCCCCCCTCCTCCTTCTGCACACTCGCATGCTCATTCAGGGAAGGGCGGGGGAGGGGGGGGCGTGTCTTCTCTTTGGGCAGGTCTCATTCCAGGCGCAAGACAGGGTGCAATACCTGGCCGGGGCTTCTGACCTGACCACGGGTCACGTTTTGTGGCAGCCCTTAACGCGATTATTAAAAGAATCCAAAGAAAGAAGCTTTTCAAAGTCCGGCCTCTGGTACCGACACTGTCTTCTCATTTATTTATCTAGCCCAGACATCACAAACGTCCCAGTTACCTCAAATGCACCATGTATCTGTCAGCGGCTCATGTCATGTTGGAGAAAGTGGAAGAACAGGGTGACTAACAGCTAGAATACGGTAATGGACCACATCCAAACTATGTTTAAAAAGCATTTGATTAAAACACCATGTTTGTGAATTTGGCAGCTCATATCAACAATGAACTTGTCATGACATGAACGCAGCATCAAGGATGCCCGGTCAAACCCAGATAGATCCACCTGAGTAATGTAAGGGATTTAAGCAAGAAGTGCACCCCTAGTCGTGGAGATTGTAATATGTGTAATAATGTTTCTCCCAATTTTCTCCCCAAAGAGGGTTTTTTGGGAGTTTTTTCTCCTGTCAGGTAGTAGATAAGCAACTGAATACAAGACAGCCGATTGAGGCAAATGTCTTGATTATTGGACCACATGAACTGCATTAGATATTTTGATGTAGTGTGATAAACTGATCATTTACGATAAGTTGTAATTAAAGTGTACTAGTTATAAGATGAAGACAAACTCTGCATGCTTTGTTATATTCACTCATTGAGGCATAAAGCCATATATTGAATGGACTGAAATCTTACGGACAGATAGGAGAGAGAGATGGAGAGAGATGTGAGATGTGAAGCGGACAATCCAGGAGGAGGCACCTTGAAGGAGAAGCCAATGAAATTCAAATGCACCCAAGAAGACACACCTCAGGAGTTTTCAGATGTCCAAAGCAGGGAAAGGACTGTTAGAATGCTCTTGCAGCCGCTTTGATAAGTTACTTTAGACCCGCTCAGGGAATTCTCTATTTTGCTAAATATTCCACCGTTCGCATTGTATTTCACTTTGTAACTGTATTCCTTATCACTTTGTTTAGTCATTAAATACTTTTTGATTTTTAAATCTGAGCAAGATGACTCTTTTGATTCTTCGTTCCCGGCCGGGATAATGGTGTCCTTCACTTGAATGGACACCTCTCTGGTCCGCATGCTCCCAGCGATCACCTACATGCAAACTCAACAGTCTGAATCAGCTCCAAGTCTTGATCCGCTGTATTTGTCGTGCAATAGCAAGGACACAGGAAACACCTCGCCATCAAACTCTCTGGCTAACAAGTGTATTTTGTCAATTGTCAAGGCTGCTCAGTTTCCTTTTCCAGCGACAACATATATCCTGGGATAAGGTATCATAAACAGGGAGGTTTTGCGCACGCACAAAGATCTCCTTGTACGAGGACCGTCATGTTCTTTATCCTGAAACATACACATGAACGTCATGAGACATGACTGGTCCAACATCTTATCTCAGCTGACACGTCATACACAGATCTTATGGTACAAACAGTCTCATCTTGTTTTGTTTAAACCCCTTCTGATTATGACACAACATTACTGCAGTTCTTCCAACAAGCTCTACACTTCAACCAAAGATGGACTGCTTCCGTTTAAATCATTTGGAGTTTTATTTAGAAAAATGGTGTCTCAGTCCAAATACTTCTGACCACACAGGGTCATGAAATAGACCATTTTTATATTCTGTCTCTTTGCTAATCTTAAATTAAAAGATTTTCCCAAGCAGTTGATAACTTTGGCCTCTTCCATGACTTCTGAAGAAGACACAAGTCAGTATGCTGTAATAGAAGCAGCTGTTCCTAAGTAAGCAGCTATTTTAAGAGGCACTTCTTAGCTAGCAGTGACCGCCTGTCGAGACTCAAATGAACTTGGTACTCTCTGATGACAGTAACCAGCAGAGTCACATCAGCAGCAAACGAGAGCCCAGGAGCTATTGCAGATGCAATGAATGCAGACGTAGTAGCATTGTAGTTTATTTTTGGCCATAAGGCCACTTTCTTCTTCAGCTGAGCCTCTCTTGTGGGCTGGAAGTTCTTCTCCAACAGAGCATCAACAACGCTGGACACCAGGAAGGCTCGTTGAGACGTTTCAGATGATGATAGAACAACATTTAAAAGAAAACAATACTAACACAAACTCCAGTCCAGGGTTATATTTAGACTTGAGGAGGCAAACAGGCAGGAAATCCATCATTAGTGGCTCTGCAGATTTCACATCACCGTCAGCTCGTCTTAGTTCTTTTGGTCCCTTTAAATGAGGCAGTTTCTGCTTGCAATTATCATTGCATACGCCTTAAACGGTTAAGGCATTTGGGGTCTTTCCTGTGACAATCTCCCTAACATTTCTTCCCTTTTTTTCTCCGCGATAAAGGTTTTTTTCACATTTTCTCTGTGCTGATGTGAGGGATTTAGGACAGAGGATGTGTACAGACTGTAAATCCCTCTGAGGCAAATCTGTGATTTTGGGTTATACAAAATATAATGAATTGAATGTCAATTCCAGCACTTCCCATTGGCTGTCAAACCTTGTCCATCAAACTGTATCAACTCAATCAAGTCTTTACATATGACAATGTAACAATTTAGAACACATTTCCTCATGTATGTTACAAGTCGGGTTAATGCTTGTTGGCTCCTCTTTTACACGCTACGTTACTAATATCATAGGGATATTCCCTTTGTATGACTTGTGCTGTAGTTCATGACTGTCACCACTAGAGGGCAGTGAACCAGTCATCTTCAGGGCAGGGGAAAAGAGTAGCGGTAATGTTGCAGGGTAATTGTCTTATGAACAACTCGTTCAGAAGACCAATCAATGCTAGGTACATGATTTGTTGAACAGACGGCGAGATAAGTGATCCAGAATAAAAGATGCCGTCTAAACTGACAACATAGAAAGGACGCTTTGCATTAAGGAAAAGCTTTGTGAGGTTACAAATTGTGGACTAAAGTTCTCTCCTAAGCAAGAGAGGCCTGCAAAGCAGCAGTGTGCCAGCTGTCCTGACTGTTTACAGATGGTTCTTTCTTGAACTTTTTTGATAGAAGAACAGAACCAAAGTCCAGATAATGTATCTACTGCAGTCCCGGCAGTACAACAGCACCATTGAAAATATGGTAAATGCTGGTAGAGAAGGCAGAGGAGGTCAAACCCTACCCATGGCATTGTGCGATGGTTGAAACCCAAGTAAAACATAGAAAAGGTGGGCAGGGGGCCTCAGGAATGACGATGAAAGTTCCTCTTGCCGCCGGTCTTACTGACCAGTTTCACGTCGGTGATGATGATGTCATGGCTCACTGCCTTGCACATGTCGTAGATGGTCAGCGCGGCGATGGAGGCGGCTGTCAGAGCCTCCATCTCAACCCCTGTCCGGCCGGTGCAGCGGCACGTCGCCGTCACAACCGCTGCGTTCTGTGGCTCGACGAGGTCAAAGGTGACTGAGGTGTGGTCCAATGGGAGCGCGTGGCACAGCGGGATGAGGGCGGAGGTCTGCTTGGCGGCCATGATGCCGGACAGCTGCGCCGTGGCCAAGGCGTCGCCCTTGGCCAGCTGGTGGTCCCGGAGCAACCGGAAGGCGGTGGTGCCCAGGAGGACGGTCGCGCTAGCCGAGGCCGTCCGCCGCATGGGAGCCTTACCGCCGACATCCACCATGGTGACTCGGCCCTCGCCGTCCATGTGAGTAAGTTGAGCTTCTGCAGAGTCGTCGGGGCGAGCACTGCAGTCGCTTGACCGCGACCGTGTCCGGCTGCTTGCTGATCGTCTGAGTTCACCGGCGGGGTCTCCGGAACTCCGACTGCGGCACCGTCGAACATAGCGTCGTTTGACATCTCCGTTCGGTAGCTGTGTGCGGAAAGCAGGTGCTCCTGGGGTCCTGAGGAAGCGGTTAGTCGGAGGGTAAGGACCCCTGGCTTGTTTGTACCTGAGGCGGTCTCCATTTATGCAGCTCAAGGAGTTTGTGCGTGCCGTCTCAGTGCGAGCGCCGATGAGATCCAGACCACTGACTAAGTTGGGGTAGTGAAGGGGGGCTACACTGCGGAGGCTGTCAGTGGCCTCACAGTTATCATTCATGACATGTGACCATACATGGGTACCCCCACTAGAGGAGCAAACATGGGCAGCCTGTGTTGAAGCAGTGAAATCCCAAAGGCACAAGAAACCCTCTCTGTGAGGGGCTCTGCTGCCGCCTGAGCGCCATGGCTGAGGAGGGGCGGCTGAAGAGAAGAACGTATTGTTTGGAAGAAGGGAAATCGCGGGGAAAGCTCTGCGGCTGTCTCGCAACTCTGCCGGAGACAAAGGCCTTTGGCAAGTGCTGCCTGTTGGAAAGCGACAAAGAAAAAGGGAAGAAATAGTATTCAATTTAAGATGAAGATGCATGATTAAGTTTCTAGCTGTTCTGAATGAAATGGTAAATGGACTCTACTTCTTTCTAACCTCAAAGCTCTTCAACACTACATGTTTTCATTCAGCCATTCACACCCATTCCTTTACTGACGGGAGGAGCTACCATACACAGTGCCACATGCCCATCAGGACTATCTAACCCTCCCACCACATTCTCACAACACCGTAGGATCAGCTACACTCAACAGATGACAGTAGGATAAAAGCTATGATCGGATCATGAGCAGTGAGAGATGTGTACGTACAGCCATGTCACCCACCAATGTGGATCATAGGCCTGTTCTTCATCTTGGAGATATTGAACATGCCTGAGGAGATAAAGAAGGAAGAGATCACATTGCGCTGGAAGAAGAAGTGATGCCGTGTACACAGAGGAATTGGACACAGGTCTACCTGCATGTTGTTTCTTCTTGCTGCCCACAGCGACGCCGATGATTTGCAAAAGCTCTTTGTCGGATGCCCCGGAGCGCAACACATCTCTCAGAGACACCTCGGAGTTCCCAAACAAACAGACCTGAGAGAAGAACGACAGAGGGAGTGAGGACGACCTTCGACGCCCCCGCTCCTCTCACACAGATGAGCGCACTTGCATGGTTGGTTTACCTTGAGGCTGCCATCTGCTGTGATACGCAGGCGGTTGCAGGAGCCACAGAAATGTTCAGACATGGAGGTGATGAAGCCCACCTGCCCTGTGAAGCCTGGCACTTTAAACATCTGTTAGGAGACAGAGACAAGTGTCAAACCCAAACCCTGGGAAAAATTCCTCACTTTAGCACTGTAGGGAGTGCAGCGAGAGACACTGGCCTTTGAAGTTTGGCATCCACTTTGAAGTGTTTCCAGGTCGGGCCACTTCTGCCTGATGAGGTCCAGCATCTCCTGGTAACTCACCATCTTCTTAAAGTTCCACTTGTTGCCTGCAGGGAGGAGAGGGCAGTGTGGGTAACACGACAAGCTGGAACACGTCACTGGGATTTCATATTCAAATCCTCCCATTACTTGTTGTCAAGCAGAGCAACGTTGAGTCACCAGAAACATATTATACTTATACAAAACACTCTTTTTATTAATACCATGTTGTTGGTATAACTAGATTATCTTCACTTACCTGAAGACTGCATATTAAATATTGGCCTATTTAAGAGCTTCTCTAGTACCATCGCGGCTTATAGGCAGAATGACTCAACCAGGACGTTCTCTGTCATGGGACCCGACAAAAAGAATATAATCAAAACAAATCAGATGCAAGTCAGTCATCGAAGAACACGAAGGCAATCTGGGTAGTACTCCATTATGATTCAACAGTTTTGTTACAGCAACCAGTCACACCTGGTTAAACGTATGTAACCACATTGTAACCACATTGTGTCCTTTGTATTCAAGTGTCCATCTTCAGTTCCCTTATATAGAAACTTGCTTTAGCTCCTGCAACCACTGAGTCATGGTTGGTGTTTTTCCTTCTTCCAGTTCTCACTTCTCATTTAGTCTATCTCTCCGGAGTATAGACCCCGTGATCTGTGCCACATCCCTCTTTAGTTAAACATAACAAAACCAATAGATCCAAGGGGCCATCCACTTTTTCTAGAACTCTTACATTATTGAGCAATCCCAAAATGTTTTGATTTTATTTTCACATTTAAAGTGTGAAATTGATGATTGATTTAAAGTCTACATGCTGTATATTGCAGTATTGCAGCGAGACTCTGCGGGAAGGGAGCACTCACCATCGAAGGGCATGTATTCGATGAAGCGCACCTCCAGAGGCTTCTTCTCTGTCAGCGCCACAAAGTGCAGCAGCTCATCCTCGTTGAGGCCTCGCATGACCACGCAGTTCACCTGAAGAGGGACAGCAGGACACAACGGCCCCAAGGACACCATTACGTCTCAGCTGGAAGGAACACAAGCTCATGGACAAAACCACACAACAGCTGGACGTTTTAGCGACAACATAAGCACTGGCTCAAGTAAGAGGACTTACTGGGTGTGCATTCATCCGTCTGTGATTGACTAACAGACTTTGCTGGAATACACCTCACAGACATTGAACTGCAGCTCGCCTCAGAACATTTAAGCGCTTAGCCAACATGCTATCATCTTAAGTGAGACCTGAAAACGCACGTTAAAAAGTATCTTTGCATTCCTACGGGATCTGTGAAAGACTATTTGTCAGTTTGTTAGAGGAACCACGGGATGCAGTGACTGGTCTCAGGAAGCAGCTGCTTGATTCACTGGTTCAGGCCATTCTGTTAAACAATGCCTGAGGCATTTCTAGCACAAAGAGAAAGTAAGAAACAACCGTATCAAATGTACTTCTCACTTCCTCTTCCGGTGTAATAGGACTAACAAAAGACAAGTTGCTAATAACAAAATATTTTCCCTGAAAGAATTCCAAGAAAACCCACAGCACTAACACAATCATTTTATTATGAATGTGAAAAAAAGAAAAAAAGAGTTGAAATCAAATACCTTCACAGGGTTGAAGCCCATTTCGATGGCCATATCTATGCCCTCCATCACCTTGTGGAACCCTGTAACAAAGAAAGAAAAGGTTGTAAATTAATAATGAGATGATTGGTTATGAACCTTTTGCATTTAACACCTTCACCATCCATTCATTCTATTTATTTGTTATTCTGTGCAACTAATTCTAATTATGACTGAGCTAAACTTTGTACTGATTACAGGCTCAGAGAATGCTTTCCTCCTCATGCCGGTACTGAAAGGTCGGTCTCCACCTTCCACAGACGAACCACACAGAGCTCGGCCAAAGCGTTGTCTCCATTCACGTACGTTTAGATGTGACAGGCTCTTCGGTAATTGAGTGGAACTGACCCACAACAAGCACCACCGCATTGATTTTGTCCCTCCACCACTTGTCCTGCATCTGACATAGTAGGTCAAATACCCAAATTACCTTTCCGCCTGACAATGAACTCAAACTTAGCGGGGACCAGGGAATCAAGGCTGATGTTGATCAGATCAAGGCCCGCTTCTTTCAGCTTAGGCAGAAGCCTGGCCAAGTTCATGCCGTTGGTTGTCACTGCAATGGTCTTCAGGCCCTCCAACTTCCTCAGTTCCTCTGCAGAAAGAGAGAGAGAACATGGGACAGTAAGAAGGGAGGGAGACAGGTAGAACAGAAGGAACACACACATATACAAAAATCCATGTTGCGCATGCGCACTGACGACCCAGATGTCTAAAGGCTCCTCGAAGCCTGACTCCACCCGCAGCCGCTTAGCTTCACTTCCTGCCCTGTCATGTCACCCCCTGTGATTGTCTGGCGTGTCCTTGATGGTTTACGTTGAATCTGTTTTGTCTGCGCCTGTCCTTGCCCCCATGCATTTTGATTTTGATTCATTAAAGTACTTTTGCCTTCAACTCTGCATTTGAGTCCTTCTGGCAACGGCGCCACCCAGTTGTGACCCCCTAGTTCAACATATTACATGTTACACCCAGTGGGATTCTGCCTCAAAGATGATCACCTGTGTGTAGTTTTGTGTTTAAAATACAATTAAACAGTGTCTAAAATACACGCTTTGCAAAGTGATTACTCATTAGTTGTGTATGTGTGTGCATAGAGAGAAAGACATTTTTTTCCTTCTTTCCTAAATGTGCCTTTATCTGTGGCTTTTGTGTAAAGTAGCTCAATAGCAACTTTTGAAATATCTTTACAGAACCCATCCCAATAACATGGGACAGCTGAATCCTGTTTCCACTAGATCAGCCAGGTCACAATGGTGTCTTGTCATATGACACAGAAACAATGGCAGCTCTTCACAAGGCTGTTGGTGGCCTGTGATGCTACATCTACTAAAACATCACCCATAGGTCACTAGGGCTGTCAACGAATATGCTATATTCGAATATATATTTGAATAGTTGATAACAGGTTTAAACTTAAAGAAATTACCTATACAAGTAGTTATGTCTTGTTGTATAAATTTTTCCTGTTATTGACGCGCCTAATGCGCAACCAGATATTCAAATATATTCGAATATCAGTATTTTTTTAAAGCGAAGTTTGACACCCCATAGGTCACACCACTTTGCTGTCTTGGTGCACGTAATGCTTAAATCACACATGTCTGATTGTGAGGGGACGAAATGGTACGTCAACAAATCAGGCTGTAAAATCGAGTCATCAGACAGAGCACATAGCGGTAGAGTAACTAATCAATTTGTGTGTGTCAGAACCAAAAGACAAGCATGGAAAACTCTCCTCCTTCTCCTTCTCCTTCTCCTTCTCCTTCCCCTTCTCCTTCCTCCTTCTCCTTCCTCCTTCCTCCTTCTCCTTCCTCCTTCTCCTTCCTCCTTCCTCCTTCCTCCTTCCTCCTTCCTCCTCCTCTCGGCTAAACCATAGCTATACCTCTTCAGCTCTGCTTTTTAACCAACAACATTTTAGGAGTAGTGGTCACGGCCATGTTTCTACAAACACTTTAAGCTGAGACAAAGTCTAGTTGCTTACTGAGGATATCCACTATGTCAGGTTTGATGAGCGGCTCTCCTCCAGTCAGGCGGATCTTCTCCACCCCCTCGCGGACAAAGAGGCGAGCCAGGGTCAGCACTTCCGAGGTGGTCAGCAGTTGACTCCGGGGCGTCAGCTTCACCCCCTCATCTGGCATGCAGTACTGACCTGATTATGAGTGCAAAGGGTTGACGGATTTCACATCAGTCTGCACCAGATGGGAGCATCCAGTGGAGGGGGATTAAACAGCCATTCTTTCCTTTACATGTCCTCATTATGTTCTCAATATTTTCATAGACAAGTACGGAATAGGAGAAACTGAACTATTGTTAGTGCTAAATCTAATTCTATTCAAATGCATCAAATGGTCCTGAGCAACAAGCACATGAAAGCATAATAATATCAATGCCATTTCATTTTTTCCTCTTTGTTAACTACAAGAGAAGGAAACCTGTGCCTCCAGGTGGTCGCGGATAATAAGTCCTTCATGTGGCACAGTGGGAACCTCTACTCACAGCGCAGGTTGCATTTCTCCGTCAGGGAGATGCGCAGGTAGCTGTGCCTCCGCCCAAAGCTGTCAGTCAAAAACGCTGAAAAGGGTAGAATGTTGTCATCGTTCAGCCTCTCCTGGAAATAAAGACGACAAAAAACTCATCGCTCACAGATACGTAGCAAATAATAATGGGAATTCTACTCCACCAGTGACAATCCGTTTGTAATCATACACGGTGGTAATCTATTCATCGTGACGTCACCCCTTCGTTTGTAGACTGCTACTATGAAATTGTGCAATTTTGCCGTCCACAGATTGTTGGTTCTTTTTGCTCCCAATACATTTTGGAACGTGAAGTAGTGACGTCCAATACAATGACCCAACAACCACAGTAAGCCTAGCCCTGACTCATAGCCTTCTTTTATGGTCTATTTGACTGTAATGGACCATCATTTACTAAATTAACTGAATTGAAGAAGACTTGAAAACTAGAAATTGGGACCATAAACTCATGTTTACAGAGTTAATAGATACAGTCCTTTTCTATTAAAGTTCTATACAATCTGACTTTTTTTGCATCTGGAGGAGTCGCCCCCTGATGGTTAGCAAAGAGAATTGCAAGTTTTAAGACTTATATAAGAATTGAACAGTTAAACCTGTCAAATTGCCTCATGCCACTTTAGAGAAGGGGACAGGCCCCGCAAGTGCACTGAGGCAGCTGACCTTTGACCTTCACACTGCCTGTTTTTTGCCCTGCTGGGACGAAAGGTTGTTTTACTCCAGGGTTTCGCTTACACGCATTAGACCACACAGGAGCATCTCATTTAACGTCAGCTGGTGTAAAAAAAAAACCAACATGGACAGATTCTACGGGATCATTGAACACGGCCGTAACGTTACCGTTACTGGTTGTTAAATAAGTCCCCTCACAGGACGAAGGTCGCGGATAACGTTAACGTTACATAACAATCTGACACAACGTATTACCTAACACAACTTCAATCATTCACTCAGACCAGCTAATAACTATCAGCTAACTAATATAACCATATAACGTTACCCGTCTGGACCCGGTTTTCGGTGATGACGCAAAGTTGGCAGCAGATGAAGTCGGGTTTCCGAGTTCAGCCTCATCTTCCTTGTGCGTAGCACCGGAATACCGCCGCCAAATGTTCCCGTTCACGCCGAAGAGTTTTTTAAAATGTGGTAAACGGGTTCGTCTCCCAAACAGGCGGCAGCACATGCTAACGTGCGAAGCCATGTCTGCGTCTGCTTCTGCTTACTGTACTGACCTTCTGTCTCGCTCCGCTCGGCAGCGAGTGTCAGTCAAGCCGGGGAGGGATATCAGGGGCGTGGTCACCGCAATTTATGGCACACGCGCAGGTGCACGCTGGTTAATGTAGTCCATGGGAAGACACGTGGGGAGAAACTCGGCGAATTAAAACTCACGTTTAGAGTCACATTAAAGATCTTGAAACTTATTTTTCATCTCTAAAAAGTAAGATCTTAATCATGTTAATTGTACACATATTGTTTAAAAAATACAGCGCGTAATAAATTACACAGTAACAGACACACCAAACCGCAAAATATCAAAGTTGAAGATGAGCTTGACCGATATTGTTATCAATAGATATTGTTATAAAATCAATGTGTGGAATTCTTTTGGCCAAGATAAATGTGTAGTGATAATCTGATACCCTTACAGCTAAGTTGTTGGTTTCTTTGCTCCAGTCTTGCTCATTATGCTTTTCTCAGAGTTTAACGTCTGTTCATTAATTTATTAAATAATTTCAATCTTCCCTTCACCTTCTCAACTCTTCTTCTGCGTTTCGATTTAATGCTGCACTGTTTGCTCTGTAACAATCGATACATGGGGCAGTAACATGCGGAAGCCAATCCCCAAACACAAATACTCTAAAATGCAAGGTGCTTTATGCAATACCTGAATGCAGAATGCAGACCATGAGGCACGTGACGAGATAGATCCCTAGTGGGGCACCTGCCCTTTTGCCCTGGCTGAGAAACGTGCCCCTTCTGTTGGGAGCCCAATTTTTTCTTCATTCATCAATATTTAAGAATGACAATTACTCTCTCTGTCGTCAATTCCCCCAAATATGTTTTGGTATCCGACGGGGCATTTATTTGATTGATTTATTCCTGTGAGAATTTCGCCCCAACATGCTCCGCGGCGCTCACAAGCCCCGCCCCTCCCTCCTCCTCCGCTTAGTGCCGCTGAAAACATTACGTCGCAACTGGTCCGACGGTTCCTAAAAAATATACAAACAAAAAACTAAAAAAATCCGTGATTTCAAAGCCTTGTCCAGCTGTTTTCTGATATTTGTCATTTTCAATGAAGAGAGAGGGAGAGAGATACAGACAGGCAGGCAGACAAATAAGACAAGTTCACTAGTTTTGTTTAATTTAATTCAACTATTGAAATGAAAGGTGGGTTAAGTTGAGCTACGTGACAGTGAGGTATATTGTGGTATATTATTAGTGTAATGCTGCTCATGCTTCAACTCTGTCAGAAAACAGTAAAAGAAAATGTATGCGTGGGGTCGGCTTTCTATAAGTCACTCTTGATTATTATGCACAACATTGATTTATCTCATTTACAAAATTTGCAAGATAAGAGAGACTCCAAAAGCAGAAGGACAGTGAATATATATTCGACTGTGTTTATTTATTTTATTATTAATGTTTTTAATTTCCTGAATAATTTTGGCGATGGCTGCCCTTTTGTTTTGGTTTGAGCACCTGCCACCAAAAATGGGCATGTGCCAGCATGCCTTCCTAGCTATTTGGCTCATATATGAGCTAGAGCATGAAACTTCAAAGTGTAATATAGTGCATTACAAATTAATGCATAGTGCATGCAACACTATGTACTGTGTTAGGGCAGCTGTAAGGCTAACTAAAAGAAAAGAAAAGAGAATGTGGTGTCTGCGTGCTTCTGCGCTAAAAAAAACAGCAAAATCCATATTTACATGTGTTTATTCTATAAACATTCCGACACAAAAACGAGAAAATTACATTTTACAGAACAAGATATTTCACTTAGTGGAAGCAATCCAACAAAATGCTTCTGTACATCTGTTTGCAATGTGCAGTGTCTCCACTAGAGAGCAGTACCATCTTAGCCCTTAACCCTAGAGAGAGATACATAGGGCCGCGGCCCCTGGTGGGCCGCGAAGGTACTGCAGGTTGACACAAGTTAAACTTAATGAAAGTTAAACTTAATGAAATATCCTTTCAATCAAATGATTATGGATTTATTTTTAATGAATATAGATATTGCACTGCTTTTTGATGCATAACAAGTGCAACAAATCTGTGCAACACATCTTTTCCTCAGTGCAGGTGATTAGCCCATTGATCATATATGACGAACGTATAAAATCAAGTAATTTCCATCTGGTTGCTGTAAAACACTGTGGTGGAGGGGCGTGGTTAGCTCAGCTGCAGGGGGGAGAGCGGGGGAGTTGTTCAGGGGACGGTGCTGGTAGGTGAGGAGTAAGCAGGTGGGAATAATCTGCACTGATTGTCTCCTACAAAAGCAGTGAGCAGGATCCAGGTCAGGGGAACGTGAGCCGAGCAGAGCTGAGCGGAGCCCGAGAGCAGAACGCGAGAGCTGAGCGAGGCCGGACAGAGCGGAGCACAAGCACATGTAACTTTTGACTTAATTTGTCATGATGGCCTCTCTCACAAGCTGTTCTTTACAATGTCAATGTCAATTTTATTTATACAGCACTTTTAAAGGCCAGTGGCCAGCCAAAGTGCTTTACAGGATAAAAACAATCAGCATCAATAAAACAATACAAGCAAACGTAAAACAAACAAACAAACAAAAAATAAAATTAAAATAAACAGTAAAAGGCAAACACATAAAAGATCGATGCAGGTGACTTAACTCAGCCAAAGGCCAATGTGAACAAGTGAGTGTTAAGGCGAGTTTTAAAAGTGGAAAGGCTCGTCGCAGACCGCACAGAAAACGGCAAAGCATTCCACAGTCTGGGAGCCGCTACTGCGAAGGCTCAATCTCCTTTTGTTTTAAGGAACGACCGAGGAACGTTCAGAACCAGCTGGTTAGCTGACCTCAGGACTCTGGAGGGTTGATGCACATTAATAAGGCTGGATAAATATTCTGGGACCAGTCCATGCAGAGACTTAAAAACAAATAAAAGACTCTTAAAATCAATTCTGAACCTAACCAGAAGCCAGTGGAGAGAGGAAAGCACTGGCGTTATGTGCCCATGCTTCTTTGTCCCGGTTAGGAGACGGGCTGCTGCATTCTGCACAAGCTGTAGGCGGTTGAGTTCTGATTGGCCGATACCGACATACCAAGGTGATCTCCTGTTCCCCTGTTCGTAAAAATGTATACGAAAATCTTGAACATACAAATTTGTAACAATACATACGAACTGGCGGTGGTTAACCACGCCCCTTGAGTAAACAACATGGCGGACCATGTCGGATTCCGTCTCCTGTCTCGTCACTTTTCACTCTCCACACATCCATGTTTTAATGTCCGTCATACAATTAAACACAGCATGAAGGGATTCCTTGGAGGGGGCCTTTAGTGGCAAGTACACCTGTACATCATCAGCAAAGCAATGGAAAGGGATTCCATGCTTCGTAAATATCGATCCCAGGGTTAGCATACAAGGAGAACAGTAGAGGGCCTAGAACTGACCCCTGGGGAACTCCGCAGGTCAGAGGAGCCACTGAGGAGAAAAACGTCCCCAATTGTACACAGAAGGATCTATCTGCAAGGTAGGATTTAAACCACTCTAGAGCAGAACCTCTAATGCCCACACAATGCTCGAGGCGGGACAAGAGGATAGTGTGATCCACTGTGTCGAATGCTGCTGTGAGAACTAATAGCATTAAAAAAGCCCAGTTACCAGAATCAAGGTTTAAAAGAAGATCATTAAAAACTTTTAAAAGAGCTGTTTCGGTGCTGTGAAGAGGCTTAAAACTAGACTGAAACTGTTCACCAATGTTTGCACGACCTAGGAATTCTTGCTATTGGTTAAAAACAGCTTTCTCCAAGACTTTAGAGATAATCGAGAGTTTGGAGATTGGCCTGAAATTAGAAAGAACCAAAGGATCCAAATTTTTCCTTTTTAAAAGAGGCTGCACTGTGGCATGTTTGTATGGAATGCCGTTTTAGTCCAAATTAAATAAATGAATAAATACATGAAATATGCATTTGAAATAAATCATGAAATAAATAAATGAGGCAATAAATACATAAATATTAAATACATTTAATTATTTCATGGTACTTTTATTTCATAATGACACTTTTCATTTCATGGTACGTTTATTTCATAATGCCACTTTTCATTTCATGGTACTTTTATTTCATAATGCCACTTTTCATTTCCAGAGTATTTTATTTCATAATGCCGTTTTACATTTCCAGAGCCTTTTATTTCATAATGCCGTTTTACATTTCACGTTCTTATATGCAAACCAGGGGGCGTGGCTACATCTAACATTCAGAACAGACAACAGAGCTGTGTGCAAAAGAAGGCTGGCTGGAATGTGGCATATTTCAGTTATTTGTACATCCAGTCCATATGACAGTACAAGATCCAAAATATGGCCTTTTTCGTGCGTCGGTTCCAAAACAGACTGCGTGAGATTAAGGGAGTCAATTAAATTTAAAAAATCTTTGACAAGCGGTCTGGTCTCACAGCATACATGCACGTTAAAATCGCCGACAATTAGAAAGTGATCATACTCGAGAATAATACCCGACACAAAGTTTTCAAAGTCCTGTATAAAGTCTTGTGAGTGATAGATCACAGCACAGAGAACAGTCACGGGGGTTTTAACCTCAAAAAGTTGGAGCTCATAGCTGGAGCCATTGACAGCTGGACGCTGCTGGACGTGGAAGGTGGATTCAAATACGGATGCCAGTCCTCCTCCTTTGCCGGTGGTGCGAGGGGAGCTACCTCCTGGAGGGAGGAGCTCCGAAAAAGGAGCAAGATCTCCTTCGCGGAGCCAGCTTTCAGTTAAGAACATAAAATCCAGTTTGCGTGAGGTAAAAAAAGTCTTGTTGGTGACAGATCTCACATTCAACAAAACCAACTTGAGGAAAAAAGTGTCCGAAGGTGAAGCACGTTCCATTGTGCGGAGGTTCCGAGGGTCCACGCCGCGACTCCCGGTCCGAAAACGCCAGGTGGTAGGAAGCAGCAACAGCTGGTCGGAGTCTGCCGAACAGCTGACGCTGTCAGAGCCGCCAACGCACGGGAGCACCGGCCGGATCCATCGAGTTCTAATCCTCCTCGGTCGCAGTCGCAGGGCAGGGGAAACATCCAGAAA